CGTGTGTATGTGTGTATGTGTTGGTGTGTTCTCGTGCGTGACGTGTAGACAATGCATTGAAACTAGGTCATTGTTGTAAAAGATTTTTGAAGTAGGTGATTTTAGATTCAGGAGTAGATGTAGAGTATATACTAGCATTCATTACTTTACTACTAGCATTCCTTACTACGTAAGTAATAGATACATACATAAGGAAACTGCCTCGTTGGCCGAGTGGTCGCAAGTGCGACTGTCGGGCAAGGGGTCTCGGGTCGGGCAAAGTATTACTGGGTTTAAAAAAATCTCAGTAGTAGCACGGAGTCTGGAATAGTGCCCGGTATATGGCAATAGGCTCACCCCCTAAAACATGGGACTCATAACATAAATAGTGAAAAGTGGGTGTTACATTGCACGGTGGCATAATGTTCACGTCTGCCTACCCCTTCGGGGATAAAAGGCGTGATGTTATGTTATGTTATGTAACATGTTATGTTATGTTACATAAGGAAACGAGTCAAGCAAGAAACTTCCAGATACAGCAAATAGTACCAGTCGAGAATACCTACACACATCAATGAATTCACTTCTAATTCGAAGGCAAGTGTCATATACTCCAGACTCAAACGCCATTGCGTACCTACCCTTACTACGAAGTTCGACAGCTTATGAGAGGAAAACAACACTTTCCTACTGAAAAACCAAAGACTGGTGACATAGAACACGACTGAATCGCTCATTGTGAATGATCACAGATTGCCAAGTTACAGATAACATAAGAAAAAAAAAGTATACTAGCTTCTTCCAGCGGGTTTCCACGTTTCCGTTGTATAAAAAGTATCCTATTTTTTTATGGCATAAGCCGGTAAACGAGCAGACGGATCACCTGATGGTAAGCAATCGGCGTCGCCCATGGACAACTGGAACACCAGAGGCGTTACAAGTGCGTCACCGGCTTTTTGGGCATAGGAGTTTGAGGATCGTTGGGGATTCAGGGATTGGGGAGATTGGGGAAGGAGAGGGTAATTGGGCCTCCGGTAACCTCATTCGTATGACGAAACACAACGCGAGCGTTGCTTCACGTCGGTTTTCTGTGAGGCCGTGGTATCACTCCGGTCGAGCCGGCCCATTCGTGCCGAAGCATGGCTCTCCCACACTTAAAATGTTTTTTTATGTGTTTGCCTATGTGTTTTTCCAGATCATAGTCTACCCCTCTTCCAAATTTCATCCCGATCCCTTCAGCCGTTTTGACGTGATTGAGTAACAAACATACAGACAAACACAAAAACTTATTCTACGCGGACGAAGGTCACAGCTTGTTCAGCTAGTTCATTATATACAAGCAGTTTGGAAACGTTAAAATAGAATAGTCGGTTACCTTACATACCTGGTCACTTGAGGTACTGCGGGAGTCGTATACCCGACTAAGGGACTACACATTGGACAGGGACCGGGCAGTAGCGCTCTCTGATATACCTGAACCATTTTTATACTGCTTTATTGAAACAAAGAGTTTCCTTTTTCTTGTATAGAAGCACTATTTCTATGGATTGTCAGTACGCATATGTGAGCACCATGTTAGACTATAAGATTTTTATTAATTTTTTATTTTGGTAAGTTATTAGTATATTGCGTTAAGCGTGTCTTTGTATTGTTCTTACATATGCATACAATATTGAAATATGTATCAGAGACATTGTAGAACATAAGTACTTTTTTAAAAAGAGTAACGAATGGAGTTTCTTGTTCGTTCTTCTCCATTCGAATCTAGATTTTGAAATAAGCACATAGCTTGACCTATCTTCACTGATGGACTGACTGACAGACAATTATTTATTTTGTATTTGTTGACGTTTCAAAAGTACCAAATTATGGTTTAATTGAAATAAATGCTTTGACTTTGACTTTGACTGCGATCTCTATTCTGCCTAACAAGCAACCCCTGTTATGTAGAAGAGGCACATAATCTAGTAGTAGACTTCCAAACTCTGTTGATATTTTTATAGCGTTTTCACCATTACTATCTAATTAAAAACACATTTATCTCAATTTTATTTTAACGCCTGTCAGTTATGAACACGCAATGTAATAAAACATGTGAGTTTGTAAAACATTGCTATGTAATTTATGACAGGTGCTAACTACAGTTTCATATAGCTTAAATAGACATAAATGTAACCTTATTCCGATGTTGTTATTATTTAGACACCACTGACAAACGGTGAAGGAAAACATCGTGAGGAAACCTGGGCTTATAATTTCTAATTATAAGTCTAATTATATTTCTAATTATAAAGTTTGAAGTCCGGATTAAATAATAGGGTACTTTTTAACCCGGAAAAAATTGATATTCCCGAGGAAAAACAAAAGTATTGGTATAGATGGCGCTGTGTGTATTGGTATAATGTCTCATTGGCTTTTTATCCTTTTGTGATGCGAGCGAAGCCGCGGGTAAAAGCTAGTTATTAATAAAATATCCGTATTCAAAATGTTATTCTATAAATCCCAAGAATATTGCAAATGGAGACGCGAAACCACTTTCATTGACCCATTGTTTTCTAGGTTGTTACACACAGACGGATGTACCGGACAATGGACACTTTCGCTTATAAAGTGCTAGGTTCTTAATTAAATTGGAAAGTAATTAGGTTGTGATCGTCTAGTAGCTGTACGAATTATAATAATAGGTAGTATGTTCTATTGAGTGTTGTGGGAGCTTAAAATATAGATTTCGAATACGGTATTTGACAACCAGTCAAATTCAATACTTGTTTAGAACTGTCAAAAACGACAGTTTGCTATGAATTTTGTACTTACGGGATTGTGTATTGTGACGTCACGTTTTTTTAGCGTCATACAGCGTACCTGAATACTTGTTTCTTAAACATGATGGTAAGCAATCGGCGTCGCCATGGACACCTGGAACGTCAGAGGCGTTACAAGTAGTTTACGGGCCTTTTAGGGATTAGGAGTTTGAGGATAGTTGGGGATTCAGGGATTGGAGATATTGAGGAAGAGGGGGGGAGGGTAATTAAGCCTCCAGTAACCTCACATGACGAAACACAATGCAAGCGTTGCTTGACATCAATTTTCTGCTTGTTGGTGGTATCACTCCGGTCGAGCCGGCCCATTCGTGCCGAAGCATGGCTCTCCCACACTTTTAGAAGCAGTATACAGTATTCCATACATATTGTACATATCCACGTGCCACAATATATTTATTCAAACAAGGTTAAACACATAACAAAGTACATAATATGTCTGCTAAAACAATAGCCTTACAGTCCTGAAGGTCATCCGTACATCACGACACTCCAAGTAACGCTTTTGATTCCTTTAATGACTAGTATTTTACAATGTCCGCCGATTTACTGACATAAGAATTATTATTATTATTGTCTTTGAACTAAATTACTTTAGTTCTGTCTTACTTTTGCCGACGTTGTGTGAATCATTGTGGGTTTACCGAGGACAAATAATGTTATTACTTAGGTACTAGCCACCCGCCCCGGCTTCGCACGGCTTATATAAAAATACTACAATATGTCCATAGTCCTTATACACCACGTTCACAGCTATTTTGTCATTAGACAATACAAACATTTTTTTTTAATAAAACGTTGCCCTGCACTAGTATTTTCTCCTGTGTCGTGTGTGCGTTTACAAACATACAAGTTCACATACACATGACACTCAGACCCGAAACAACAATCTGTGGATCACACAAAGAGTTGTTCCGTGCGGGAATCGAACCCGCGACACGTTGAACGGCAGCCGGTTACCCGGCCCGACAGCCCAGCCACTTATACTTACTATAATATTATAAATCGGAAAGTGAGTTTGTTTGTTTGTTCCACTTTCACGCCATAACTACTAAACCGATTGCTATGAAATTTTGCGGATGTATAGTTAGAAGTCCGGATTAAATAATAGGGTACTTTTTATCCCGGAAAAATTTGATGTTCCCGAGGGAAAACAAAAGTATTGGTATAGATGGCGCTGTGTGTATTGGTATATGTCACATTGGCTTTTTATCCTTTTGTGACGCGAGCGAAAAGTATAAGATTTATATGTATAGATTATAAGTTAGAGGGTGAAACTTTGGAGAGAGCGATGGAGGTGAGAGACCTTGGTGTCTATTTTGCGGCCGATTTAAAATTCAGAGGTCATATTATTAAAGTTAGTAAGAAAGCATTTAGAAATTTGGGATTTATCTTGAGACAAGCTAATGATTTTAGTAATGTGGGGGCTCTCAAGGCTTTGTATGATGCCTTGGTTAGATCTCACCTCGAGTACTGTGCAGTGATATGGGGACCAAGTGAAGCCAAATACAAATTCATGGTTGAGAGGATACAAAATAAATTCACCCGATTTTTGTATTTAAAAATTTATAAGGTATACCCCGGCTATCCTCTATTATACCCAACATTATTTGTGTTGGGTATGGTGGGATACTTCAAACTAGAGACTAGGCGGGAAGTGGCACTGGCTGTTTATTTATTTAAAGTATTGCGAGGTAAATTATTTAACTCTAAAATCCTTATGGAGCTACGCATGTGTGTGCCGGATGGGTACGTGGATAGGCGGCGGCGGCCGCAGCTGCTGGCGGTGCCGAGCGCGCGCACCAACCTGCTGCAGCGAGCGCCACTGACGCGCGCCTTGCGCACGCTCAACGCAGTGTCGAGTGGGGTCGATTTGTTTGCTTGTTCGTTGAATGAGTTCACAAGAGCCACCTATAGTGTTGTTAGTATTTAAAACTTTAGTGGTGGATTATTATTATTTTTTAGTGGATTATTATTTTTTTTTTTGTGATACTATGTTTAGATTTCGTATGTATAATGTAACTTTCGTATGTATAATGTAATTTTGAATTTTGAAATTTTATATTATGTAACTAATTTTGTCGTATTAGGCTAAGTACCTGTGAAGATTAAATTAGCTGTTTTTTGATATAAATAAATAAATAAATAAAGATGGGGATTCACTGAAATTTAATACTTTGACTTTCTTTGATGTTGCTTCAGGGGGTGAACACCAACTCAGCGGAGGCATCGCAGTTCCTCCGCGAGTATGACAGAGAGGCTTCTGGAATGTGCTACAGGTGAGATTCTTCATCAGCACGAGTTCCTGGGCGACTCCCAGAGCTGAGAACTGCTCATTGCAATGTAACGCCAACTTTTTAACAGTTATGTTATGGTATAAGTACCTCAATAGGGATGATGACAGGGTATGAAAATTTAAATCTAATTAGTCCGTCAGTTAGGTAATTAAAAAATATTAGACACGTATTTTTTTATTTTGTCGTATAAGAAAACGATACTTAGATAAAACGAATAAAAGTTTAGGAGTGGGAGCTAGGTATGTCACTTTTGAGTACAATACGTACATAAAAGTGATTTCACGCGATATTTCGAATCAATATAGGTATCACCGAAAGTATTTCTTTCCGTAAGAAAATAAAAAATACGTGTCTAATTTTTTAAAAATCTATCAGACGGACGTTTAAATAAAAATTAGTCATATACCCTATTATGATAGATCATTTTCAAAAACTCTTTTCCTCTCTCGATCCATAAGGCAGTCGTACCTGACTATAACCTTGTCGAGAATTTGAACTAGAAAACAATATAAATTATTATGTTTTCGGCTTACTCACGTAATAATTCGACGAGGAACTCGACTAGTTTCAAGACATGCTAGAGGCTCATATTCATGAGCAGCATTCCGCTGTTGGCACGCTAGACTCGCCTGCCGGCAGCTGCGTTGCGTTCGAATCCCGGGTCGACGCAAAAACAGTGTTACATATCGCACTCACTGTGTCACACTACAGACCCGCAAGGCCGCAACACTGTAGTATTAGATGAATACGAGCCTCTAGCATGGCTTGAAACTAGTCGAGTTCCTCGTCAAATTATTACGTGAGTAAGCCGAAAACATAATAATTTATTTAGTATGTCTCACGAAAGTTATAATCCAAATAGAAAACAATAGTCCAAAATCTTCTTTCAGGGTAACAATGTCCCAATGGAAATTCGTGACCAATATCACGGAGTACAATCGGCGTCGGATGCTGGAGGAACTGGCTCTCAGCTCCAAATTTGAGAAGCTTTCCTGGAGGAAAGCAGCTGCGTTCGACTCCTCGAGGCTGTCAGACCCTGAGGGCAGACGGCAGCTGATGAAGATCGTGTTGTCCAGCAGGGCTGCGTTACCTGATGATAAGTTCTCTGAGGTGATTTGAATGTGTTCTGAAGAACCAAAGTGGTTAATTGTATGCTTATGAATTGAGGAGTCTAGCTTAACTAAAAATTGCGGGTTGCTCACGTGAATATACTGAGAAAAGCTCACTAGTTTCGCGCCAAAGAGCTCTTCCTCATGAGCGGCGATTTCACGCAGCCTACGATAGTTATAGCAAGGCTAGACTCCTCATGTTTCCTCCTTAAACATGAGGAGTCTAGCCTTGCATCAGTTATGGAGTTCACCGATAACACACAGTCCACTGAACTATAGGCTTCCTCTACATAAGAGGGGGTTTTCTATAATATTCTCGTTTCGCAAGCGAGTTAGAGATCGCATTTTAAAAGTCTCTATCAAACGTGTAGCAACTTGGTCGGGTATACGACACCCACGTGAAGAGTTGTGAGGATGGTGACAAATGTAGTCTAGATGCCCTTTATCATAGTCCCATAACCACTTCAAAATTTTCTTCCAGCTCCAACAATTAATATCGGAAATGAAAGAAGTCTACAACTCGGCGAAAATCTGTCCTTATGGTCAGAAACCTTATGATCCTCATATACCAAGGATCCCATACAGCCATGAGTACCAGGACCAGGGGTACCAACTTGCCAACGAACCATACCAGCACTACCAACCCTATACTGAAACTACAGAAACAAATTACTGTGACATGCAACTCGATCCAGAGATATCCAGAATTTTAGCTCATTCGAGAATTGAGAGTGAACTGCTGTATGTATGGAGGAGTTTCAGAGACCAGACTGGTCCGAAGTTGAGGAATAGGTTCATGAGATATGTGCAGTTGGCTAATCAGGCTGCTGTTGCTACTGGTAAGTGGATGTCAAGAATATGAAGGACCAGGATGAGGTGGAGAATTGATGTTGTTTTTTTTTTGGCATTAGCCGGTAAACGAGCAGACAGATCACCTGATGGTAAGCAATCGACGCCGCCCATGGACACCTGGAACGTCGAAGCGTTACAAGGGCGTCACCGGCTTTTTGGGGATTAGGACTTTGAGGATCGTTGGGGATTCACGGATTGGGGAGATTGGGGAAGGGGACGGTAATTGGGCCTCTGGTAACCTTACTCATACGACGAAACACAACGCAAGCGATGCTTCACGTCGGTTTTCTGCTCGGCCGTGGTATCACTCTGGTCGAGCCGGCCCATTCGTGCAGAAGCATGGCTCTCCCACACTTAAAATGTGACGATTTTTAGTCAGTTGTGTATGTCTTCCCTGTGGGTCTTCCCTCATGTAACTTCTTCCCGATTAAATTCTTCTTCCTCCTTCTCCCCCCAGTCTCCCCATTCCCCGAATCCCAATCTTCAAATTACCAAAAGGCCGGTAACGCACTTTTAAAGCCTCTGGTGTTTCAGGTGACGCATGGGCGATGCCGATTATTTAAATTCAAATTCATTTATTGTTTGTAACATAACATAACAACACGCCTTTTATCCCCGAAAGGGTAGGCAGAGGTGCACATTATACCACTGTGCAATGTAATACCCACTTTTCACTATTTATGTTATGAGTCCCATGTAATAGGGAGTGAGCCTATTGCCATATACCGGGCACTTTTCCAGACTCCGTGCTACTACTGAGATTTTTAAAAACCCAATAATACTTTGCCTGACCCGGGAGTCGAACCCGAGACCCCTTTCCCAACAGTCGTACTCGCGACCACTCGGCCAACGAGGCAGTAAATAAATAAATAAAAATAAATAAACCCAAAATTTGTGCATAAGGATCGATTTTTATATTATGTAGTTGTATAGAGTTTTTGTCAAACAGACATCATTTATTTGTTTTATTTACTCTTTAATGCACACAATAATAAGGAACATACATTCAGACGTAAGATACATCCAGAAAAGTACCCTTATAAACCTGACCTTTAAAACTCCGATCTTTAAAACTATTTCATAATCTATAAAAGAAAGTCGTGTTAGTTACACCACTTATAACTCAAGAACGGCAGAATAGATTTGGCTGAAAATTGGTAGGGAGGTAGCTTAGAGCCAGGAGACCGACATAGGATACTTTTTGACCAACATTTTTGTTTTACTTTTTACCGAAAATCACGAACGGGAACGGGGGGAAAATGGGATTGCGCGTACGAAGTCGCGGGCAGAAGCTAGTTTATGTTATTTGTAGACTTAACCTAGATCATCTGTCTTTGTATGGTTATCAAACTAGCCAATTTTCAGGATACAGAGATGCCGGAGACCAAATGCGAGCAGCGTACGAGGATCCCTCATTCAGAGCCAGTGTGGAGGAGATGTACAATCAGATACAACCTCTTTATAAGCAGCTGTTTACGTATGTGAGGAGGAGGCTGGTGCAGAGGTACGGGGAGACCAGCGTGAGAGCTGATGGTCCTATACCAGCTCATCTGTTGGGTATGTCGTGATTCTGTTTGCTGTTGAACTGTGTATTATTTTGTTTTTATTATTAACATTACATAATATAACATCACGCCTCTTATCCCCAAAGGGGTAGGCAGAGGTGCACATTATGCCACTGTATAATGTAACACCTACTTTTCACTATTTATGTTATGAGTCCCATGTAATAGGGGGTGAGCTTATTGCCATATACCGGGCACATTTCCAGACTCCGTGCTATTGCTGAGATTTTTTTTTAAAACCCAGTAATACTTTGCCCTACTCGGGAATCGAACCCGAAACCCCTTGCCCGGCAGTCGCACTTGCGACCACTCGGTCAACGAGGCAGTTTATTATTATTTATTTATTATATTTGATGGGCTGACGTTTGACCACTATCTCGCCTGGTGGTAAGCGATGATGCGGTCTACGATGGAGCACGTCGACCCATAAGCCTATTCACTCGTAGCTTGAAGACATCCAGGTTATATCCTTCAAGAAATACAGACTCTGGTAAAGAATTCTACTCTTTAGCAGTACGCACAAGGAAGCTTGAAGCGAAGCGCTTCGTGCGTGTGGGTGGGACAGCTGCCATGAATCGGTGCCGCTTCGGTGATAGTCTTGTGGTACGATGACGGAATGATAGTACCTTTCTTTTGGATAGAATCAAGTTAAAAAATGGGCGTTACATACATCTATATATATAAAAGAAAGTCACAGGACTTTCTTACTTACACTATTTATAACTCAAGAACGACTGAATCGATTTGGATGAAAATTGGCGGGGTGGTAGCTTAGAACCAGGAGACGGACATAGGATACTTTTTATCTAATTTTTTTTATACTTTTACTGAAAATCACGAACGTGAACGGGGGGGAAATGGGATTGCGCGTACGAAGTCGCGGGCAGAAGCTAGTTTCCAATATTTTATGCTAGTCATTTTAAATACATTAGTTTCGACATATGTAATTTAATTGGAGTCCACTATGTGATTGAGACTTAATAGTCGTTGTAGGTAACGGCTCCTGGAGCATAAAGGTACAGTTTTAAAACCTGGCAAGTACAAGCCTATGTGTTTATCCAGACCATAATCAATCCTTGTTCCAAATATCATCCCGATCCCTCCAGCGGTTTGACGTGGTTAAGTAATAAGGATAAAGATAAAGATGTATTTATTTCTAAGTACATGGTACACTGAGATCTTACATTAAACATAGAAACACATATACTACCATTTCTGGTGTAGAAATATTAAATAAGCTAAGTCCATGCAAATTTTAGACATTACAATAATCTTCATTTGATACAATTTATTCATTAAAAAAACAATAATACATTTTTCGTCCAAATTGTTATGTCAAAAAATAAATAGGTACCAAACAGAATAAAAAAAAAGAAAATATATGTCATAGTTACTGGTTCCAATATAAATATATATATATATATATATATTAATCATAATGTCAATATTTCTAATAGCATCAAATATTAATTACAAGGTCAAAAAGGATGATTTAAAAATTCGTTAACGGAGTAAAAACACATGTCCAGGAGCCAAGTAAACATTTTACATTTGAATTTATTAATTGGTAACATTTTCAATGCAGGTGGTAGTTTGTTATAAATTTTTATTACCAACAAATTATTTTATTGTAAACATTATAGTAACTCAGTTTATTTTCAGGTAACATGTGGGCACAGAATTGGAAGTCGATCATGGACCTGGTGATGCCATTCCCTCAGTCCCCCAACGTGGATGTCACAGCTGAGATGTTGAGGCAGGGGTTCACACCGCTCAGGTAAATCACCATCGGAATCTAATAATCCTAAGAAAAATCCTACTACAATGGTAAACGCGTCGCCGCGGAGAATCTAACGGGTTACCGGGGCTCCGGCTCGAGTGCAGGAGTAGGAACGGGGTGGTTTTTAGTCAGTAAGAGTCTGACACTCCCTTCCGCCTCACAGAGTTGGGAGAAGTTATTAGATGATATTGCCCCTAAAAAAAATAAAAAAACGTGTAAGAGGGTAAAGGGTAAAAGGACACAAGGCAAGTTTGGAGCTGCAAGCCGGAGTAGGTAACTGATGACTGAACAGGGTGGTGTTTAGTCAGTAAGAGTCTGACACTCGCTCTGGGCTCACTGAAGGCGGAAGAAGGTATTGGATGACTTTCGCCCCTCAAAACAAAAAGGTGAGGTTAGGTTAGATTCCAGAGTGTCGTGGTGGCCCGGAGGTTTAAGACGCCCACTTCTCATGCATGAGGGTGCGGGTTCGAAACCTACCAACGGCAAGTACCAATGTGACTTTTTCCGAGTTATATGTACTTTCTAAGGTTATTTAGACACCACTGACAAACGGTGAAGGAAAAACACCGTGAGGAAACCTGGACTTATAATTTCTAATTATAAGTTTGAAATCGCCAACCCGCATTGAGCAAGCGTGGTGATTAATGCTCAAACCTTCTCCGTGTGAGAAGAGGCTTTGCTCAGCAGTGGGCATTTATAGGCTGTTGATGAGGTTAGATTCCGGGGCTCCGGCTCAACGTGCAGGAGAAGTAACGGGGTGGTTTTTAGTCAGTAAGAGTCTGACACTCCCTCCCGCCTCACCCAGGCGGGAGCAGTCATTCGATGATTATTCCCCCTTAAAAAAAGGGTGTAATAAAGAGTACGAGTGAGGGTAACAGCAGATAGAGTAAGCGTTTACTACTTTTTGAGCTATAAAAACCTGAAACGAACACCATATTGTTCCAGAATGTTCCAAATGGCAGAAGAGTTCTACACGTCAATGGGTCTGAAGCCGGTGCCTCCAGAGTTCTGGCGCGGGTCCATGCTGGTCCGGCCTCCACAACGCAGTGTCCAGTGCACCGCCAGCGCTTGGGATCTTTGCAATAGAATAGATTATAGGTATGTACTGATGATGAGGCACTTCTTGAGGTGGTAATCCCTCAACCAACTATCGGAGTAATTCATATATTGCGCGAGCGAGCAATGATCTCAATAAATTTAGTAAATAAAGATTTTTCATTCGACCCATTTAACACAAAACTTACTGTGGCACGCGGGCAGCTGAACCTTGATTTCTTTAATTCATATTTTAGACTGCACGGTTGGTGCGGTGGCTGGGCAACCTGCTGCCGTGCAACGTGTCGCGGGTTCGATTCCCACACGGAACAACACTTTGTGTGATCCACAGATTGTTGTTCCGTGTCTGGGTGTCATGTGTATGTGAACTTGTATGTTTGTAAACGCACCCACGACACAGGATATAATCCTAGTGTGGGGCAACGTTTTTCTAAAAAGAAAGAAATGGTCCTTAATATTTGGAGTAATTTGTGCATCATTATAGATTGCCTGTGGTTTAATGAGTTTAATAAGTAATTTTAGTACTGTGTTGGCATGTTTCTACTTTCTGTTACTAATCGTGGAAACCAGTAATTGGTTTCTTGTTGCATACCACATTCTATTTAATCAAATTGAATAGCTGTTGGTTTTCCAAATGGAATATATATATTTATATATATATATATATATATATATATATAAAAGAAAGTCGTGTTAGTTACACCACTTATAACTCAAGAATGGCAGAATAGATTTGGTTGAAAATTGGTAGGGAGGTAGCTTAGAACCAGGAGACGGACATAGGATACTTTTTATCTAATTTTTTTTTTACTTTTACCAAAAATCACGAACGGGAACGGGGGAAAATGGGATTGCGCGTACGAAGTCGCGGGCAGAAGCTAGTATACATATATATATATATATAAAAGAAAGTCGTGTTAGTTACACCACTTATAACTCAAGAATGGCAGAATAGATTTGGTTGAAAATTGGTAGGGAGGTAGCTTAGAGCCAGGAGACCGACATAGGATACTTTTTAACCAAATTTTTTTTTACTTTTTACCGAAAATCACGAACCGGGACGGGAAAAATTGGGATTACGCGTACGAAGTCGCGGGCAGAAGCTAGTAAGTAAATAAATGAAACCCCCTTTGTCTGACTTATATGCTGATCTTTAGCATCCTTCAAGTTCAAAAGCCCTTGATACTATCAAGGGTTTGAAAGTTAATAGTCCACAACTGGACTAGAAACCTCCTGTTTTTAACAGAGAAACCTATAGTCTTAGGTTTTTTCAAAACTAGCTTCTGCCCGCGACTTCGTACGCGTAATCCCATTTTTTCCCGTCCCCGTTCGTTATTTTCAGAAAAAAGTAAAAAAAAAAAATTGGTTAATAAAAAGTATCCTATGTCGGTCCCTGGCTCTAAGCTACCTCCCTACCAATTTTCAGCCAAATGTATTCTGCCGTTCTTGAGTTATAAGTGGTGTAACTAACACGACTTTCTTTTATATATATAGATTTTTTTACTTTTACCAAAAATCACGAACGGGAACGGGGGAAAATGGGATTGCGCGTACGAAGTCGCGGGCAGAAGCTAGTATACATATATATATATATATATAAAAGAAAGTCGTGTTAGTTACACCACTTATAACTCAAGAATGGCAGAATAGATTTGGTTGAAAATTGGTAGGGAGGTAGCTTAGAGCCAGGAGACCGACATAGGATACTTTTTAACCAAATTTTTTTTTACTTTTTACCGAAAATCACGAACCGGGACGGGAAAAATTGGGATTACGCGTACGAAGTCGCGGGCAGAAGCTAGTAAGTAAATAAATGAAACCCCCTTTGTCTGACTTATATGCTGATCTTTAGCATCCTTCAAGTTCAAAAGCCCTTGATACTATCAAGGGTTTGAAAGTTAATAGTCCACAACTGGACTAGAAACCTCCTGTTTTTAACAGAGAAACCTATAGTCTTAGGTTTTTTCAAAACTAGCTTCTGCCCGCGACTTCGTACGCGTAATCCCATTTTTTCCCGTCCCCGTTCGTTATTTTCAGAAAAAAGTAAAAAAAAAAAATTGGTTAATAAAAAGTATCCTATGTCGGTCTCCTGGCTCTAAGCTACCTCCCTACCAATTTTCAGCCAAATGTATTCTGCCGTTCTTGAGTTATAAGTGGTGTAACTAACACGACTTTCTTTTATATATATAGATAGTACTTAACAAAGAATTGATTTCGAAAACATATTCAAGTTGATTATCAAGGCAGGGTTGGCAAAAAGGAAATATCTAAGTGATCAATTCAAAAATTGATGATTCCGCCATGTCATTGGTTGTGATTTAGATTTAGGTGTTGCATTGTTCTCACACAATCGAACCAATAAAACTATGTAACTAAAGAATTGTATTGTAAACCTGATTGAAAAAGAGTAACCTATGGAGTTTCTTGCTCGTTCTTCTCCATAGGAATCTACACCTTGGAATGAGGAACTAGCTTTACTTCTAAATTTTTGTTGTTGACGTTCAAAAGTGCCTTCCTGGTCTGGTCTGGTATTTCAATTAGAAATAAATAATTTTGACTTTGACTTGACTTTGACTTTGTGAGTCCACATAACCCGTGGCAGTCCATTACTGACCTCCTCCATCAAACGCTTTGTCATAATCTCTCCACTTTGAAGGTGGATTATCAATTTAACATAACATAACATAACATCACGCCTTTTCTCCCCGAAGGGGTAGGCAGAGGTGCACATTATGCCACTGTAGAATGTAACACCCACTTTTCACTATTTATGTTATGAGTCCCATGTAATAGGGGGTGAGCCTATTGCCATATACCGGGCACAATTCCAGACTCCGTGCTACTACTGAGATTTTTTTTAAAACCCAGTAATACTTTGCCCGACCCGGGAATCAAACCCGAGACCCCTTGCCTGGCAGTCGCACTTGCGACCACTCGGCCAACGAGGCAGTCTATCAGATTAGATCTAAGTAGATTATCAATTTAAGGTTATCAAATCCTTTGTTACCTCTCCCCCCAGAATAAAACAATGCACAGAGGTGACGATGCAGGACCTGGTATCCACACACCATGAGATGGCACACATACAGTACTACCTCCAGTACTCCGACCAGCCACAACTCTTCAGGGATGGAGCTAATCCAGGTAAGTCTACCTTCACTATTTTTTTAAGGAAAATAATAATGGTTCCGAAAACAAAACCTAACCTTATAGTTAGACGATAATAAATACACGAAAAAATATATTAAACTTTCAAATAATTAATATAAAATAATACTATTAAAACAAAAAAAAGTATAAACAAAACTTAACAAAAACGATAAAGTTTACAAAAAGAATCTCTCCGGCGGGGAATCGAACCCCGGTCTCCCGCGTGACAGGCGGGGATACTGACCACTATACTACCGAAGACTTATCCTAATTGACGAAATTATCAACTAGTATATGCAGATATATATGTATGTATGTATGTATGGAAATTAGTTTTATACTTTGTCAATATTAAATTACTTTTTTTTGTGTTATCGAGCATAGAGCAACACGGAGGGGAGTAGCCATTGCGTTATAAACCGATACAAAACTGTCTGTCATTTTTTGCGGGGGGAAATCACACATTCTCAAATTCTCACACAAAAACATTCTATGTCACTACGAAACTCACACTATGACAATTGAAAAATACACTGACAATTTCACACACACATTTAAACAATCCCTGTCGTAATAGTGTAATAATATGACGCAACTACACTTACACCCGCAGTTGTAACAATTATCGATACGCATTATCGATAAATTCAAGAACTCCGTTAAGGAAATTAGCTTTAACCTTTTGAGCGCCAGGGTCACAAATACGTGACAAGCGAAAACTGTCCCTGAGCGCCAACGACACAAATATGTGACAAAAACAGCGGTACATTAAAACACGAAATAAACTATTTAAACATTACTTTAATGCCTATTTATTTATATACCTGTAAAATAGAAGGTCCAAAATTTATATATTTCCATAAAACTAATTAAATTGCATTATAAATATTGAGAAATTTTACGTTAAAAAGAAAGAAATAAACTCTGAAAAAAGAATGTCCTCACACGCCAGAGTCATAACTGCGTGACCGCTAGTGATGTAGCGCATGTTGGATAATATCATTATTTCAAATCAAAGATCGATTCAAAACTTTCCTCTGGAATATATTATTTTAGGTATAATTTGGTACTAGGATAAAGCAGCATTAATTTTATAAAACCAGTCTTAAAAATCATTCAATAAGCTACATAGTCAAAAATAAAATTTGGTTGGGTCGAATTTCGATATTCACTAATCCCAACTCAAGCGCATCCCTAACGCAACCCGAATTATCAGTACCCTGTACGCCATGGTCACGACTAGACGACAATATCGTGACGTCACAAGCGCGGCGACCAGAAATTAGTGAAGTGAATGAATAATATTTATGATTAATTTACTTGTGATATCGAGTTCAAGATTTATATTAAGTGACTATTATAATGAGTGGGAATTTAACTCGTCGAGTACCGGTTTTATAGACACAATTAAAGAACAATAGGTCGCGGTCACCGGTGACCGCTTGGTATTTGACAGTTTAATGACTACGGAAGAAGAGCGAGAGTATTTGACTCGAAACTTTTATTCTAAGTGTGGGCTCCATATTTACCTATAACTTCGTGGAATAAAGTCTGCCAAAAGTTCCTTTTTTAGCCACGGTGCGCGCTGAGATCGATTTCACTGTCCCCACCACCCACTTTGCACCCAGCGAATTAGATGATCAGAATGCAGGTTGCATTGTAGATTTTGTATAATTTTGTTCTATTATTCAAAAGATTTATTAGTATAAGACTGATTGATAATTGTGATAATTATATATAATCGTTAATTGTTTTAATTTGTTACTTTTTATGCCAGGTTTATAGAACTTAATATTTAAAAACATGTATACATAGTACATACTGTATAACATTTTATTAAAATTTTCTATTTTTTCATAGTTTTTATTTACCTTCTTAACCTATTTCAATCATATATTTTTAAGTACCTGTTACATTCGGAATTATAAATCTGATTTAAAAAACGTGTTTCATTTATTATAAAATAATATTGTACTAGAACATCGATAAACGAGATATTACGTTGCCACATCCTTATTTCGGAAGCGAAGTAGTTATTAAAATGGCGGGCCGTCCACGCCATGGTCACAATATGAAGACAGCAGATCAAGAATAGTGTTGTACCTACAGTTATTATATTTAAATATATTGTAGTCTCATATCTGTTATTACGGTATTATACAAGTCTGTAAATAGTGTATAACTATTACTTTGATAGGAAGAAATGTAATGTTGAATTAAATTTCAATGTTATAAGGACATTATATTTCGAAATTAAAGACGAAAATGAAAATAAAATTGATTATCGATGAAGTTTTGGAATCCCTATTTTTTTCGTAGGTATTTGCGGTGAATTTGTGGCCTGGCGTTGAGGGCAAGTTCATGCGTTTTTGCTCTGGCGTTCAAAAGGTTAAAGATTTATTCAAAGACAGATATTATTATTGACTTTAATTATTATACCATTTTTTTACCTAATTAATTATTATACCCCTAACTACCTACTACTACAATAATCAGACAAGAAAATAATAACAAATAAAATTTTCATTTTTTTAAATAAATTAAATTACTAATCCCATTTAAGAACCAGCGATGAAATACTGATACGGAACTATCACTGGTTTTTAAAATAGATTAATTTTCTTTAGATATGACGAATACATTTTTGGGGGTTTGTTTTTTTCAATAAGTTAGAAATTATTGTATCAGTATATTTTTGCATTATTAATCTTGCTAATACATCTTGATTTGAGCAAATGGCAATATTTCTTATGGGAATCCAGGTTGGTCTGTTATGACAAAATGTCTTACATATATCTCTTAAATTTGAATCTTTAGGAAATCTGCAATAAATAAATAAAATAATAATAATAATAAATATAGTTGAAGTTCTCACTCAGTATTTTTTATTTAAATCAGAAAACTTAATCCCAAAAAATCTCACATTTGACTTCACCTTTTACATTTTTATCGATAACTATCTACAAACAAACCGGCAACAACGCTATCGCTCGGCGACAGCGAATTCTAGGAAAAAAACTCGGATCTGTCGCTCGACCGATCCGCGTTTTGTATGAGTACGCACGGATTTGTTGGTAAACAAATCCGAAACAAGACGATTGATAATACTGTAGTTTTTTTAAGTTTATAAGAAGTTAATAGCAATAATGTGATTAAAAATTAATTAATATGAAAGGTAACACCATGTTTTTGTAAATTTGACGTGGTAGATTTCTTTTGCAGCAAAAAACAGAACAATTCGGCATTTTTACGACGCCGTCGATTCACTAACGCAACTAGATTTAGTCTGGTGAGCAGTTGAGTTGCAACTAGTTTTATTGTACGCATAGGACCATTTGGACTTATACTTTGATAGAGGGGAACGCCTGCGTATGGCTACTCCCCTCCGGTCCGCCGGTGGTCCGTGTTGCTCTATGGTTATCGAGTATTGATTATATTGAATTTTAATTATTGACAATTCAGTTCTAAATAAACTTAAATAACTTAAGTATGAATCAAAATATACTACTACTACCTACTTATACTTATTTTAATTAATCGATATATCTTTTGTTAGATGAAGAAAGGAGTTTATCATTAAAAGTATAGTTAAGTATACCCTATTATTTAAGTGGGTATTTTATTTTGTTCATCATAATCATCAACAGCCTATAAGTGTCCACTGCTGAGCAAAGCCTCTTCTCACACGGAGAAGGTTTGAGCATTAATCACCACGCTTGCTCAATGCGGGTTGGTGATTACAAACTATAATTAGAAATTATAAGCCCAGGTTTCCTCACGATGTTTTCCTTCATCGTTTGTCAGTGGTGTCTAAATAATCTTAGAAAGTACATATAACTCGGAAACAGTCACATTGGTACTTGCTGTTGGTAGGTTTCGAACTCGCACCCTCGATGAGAAGTGGGCTCATGGATGTTTATTTTGTTATACATTCCAAAAGTAGGGATTATTTATTTATTTATTTACACTTTATTGTACACCATAGAAACATACATAGAAAATAAACATAAAAGAATGTGCACAATGGGCGGTCTTATCGCAGAATGCGATTTCTTCCAGACAACCTTTGGATGGAGCCAGTATTCAGGAGTTGGAAAAAAGGGGGTCGTCTAGTGTACAATAATTAAAACAATACATACAATATTGGCTCTTGGTCAATCAATTATGGAATACTGCATAATTGCCTGGGGCGGATCTGCTAAAACACATCTTTTAAAACTAGAACGTGCACAACGTGCACTCCTGAAAGTGGGCTGGAAGCTACCTTTCCGTTTTCCAACCACAGATCTTTATAAAATTTGTAATGTTCTCTCTATACGAAAATTGTTCATTTCGAATATTCTTTTGACTACTCACTCCCAAATTAGTTACGATCCGACCATGTTTGACGGTAAACGGCGTAAGCATAGTGTTTGTCCTCCTTTTTCGACTAATTGTCGATCAGCACAACGCAGTTTCCCTTTTCTTAGCGGCTACATATACAACAAGGCAAACAATATACTTAACATATATCCTCTGTGTAAATCTAAATGTAAAAAACGGTCAGGAACTGGCTTCTTGACATGGACTATGATAGCACTGAAGAATTACTGCACGTTTTATCTTAAATCTCGCATAGGTACATTGTTGGGTACTTCGTCGTTGTCGGCTTTCGGTAATGTCTACATATTCTTCACAGCACACCAACTTACATACACAAACACACAACTTCAGATACACTCACACTAAAGACATGAACACTCACACACTGTACATTCATTTTCACAATTGACAAACACATTCTCATCATCCATTCTCATATAATCCACTCTGGTTTGGTGTTGGTCTACCCTCAGACCACGGAATTTGTTTCTTTTTATTGCTTGTATTCTATTGCATTACAATTACCTACTATATTATTGTGACATCGGGTGTGAACCTGGAGATCTGTCATACAGGTCTTGAACCCAGTATAGACTCCAGCTCTCACAAAGGTTGAACCTATTGTAACTTAAATAGTGATATAATGTTTCTATGTATGTACCTTTTTGAGAGAAATAAATTCCTTTATTATTATTATTATATTATTAATATAATACTATCTATATATACCAAAATAAATATTATTGATTTTATTCTAGTTTTTTTTTAATATCTCAGTAGTAGGTATACATTGTAACACCCACTTTTAACCAGATGGGATAAGTAACTAAGATAATTGGGGAGATTGGGGAAGGAGGGGAGGGATAATTTGGCCTCCGGTAACCTCACTTACACGACGAAACACAACGCAAGCGTTGCTTCACGTCGGTTTTCTACTCGGCTGTGGTATCACTCCGGTCGAGCCGGCCTATTCGTGCCGAAGCATGCTCTCCTACCCTTGATAGAATCCATGATTATGTCATGTTAGTCCCATGTACTTAATAATTATATATATATAATATATAAGAGCCTATCACGCCTTTTTATCCCCGAAGGGGTAGGCAGAGGCACATTACGGCACTTAATCCCACTGTACAATGTAACACCCACTTTTTACTATTTATGGAGTCCCATGTAATAGGGGTGAGCCTATTGCCATATACCGGGCACATTTCCAGGCTTCGTGCTACTACTGAGATTTTTAAAAACCCATTTTTTAGTACAATGGGAATCGAACCCGAGACTCCTTACCCGGCAGTCACTTAATAATTACTGCGTTTTAAATTCCAGCGTTCCACGAAGCTGTGGCTAACGCCGCGACACTGTCCGTATACAATCTACCTCATCTGCAGAGAGTGGGGCTCTATCAGAATAAGTAAGTTAATATTAACCATATATTATATATAATTTATGTTATAGATAGATAATAATAATGCTATTTATTTATCTTTATTTTGTTAAGTTTAATACAGGGTTTGTTTTTCCCTTTATCTCTGTAATAGTTTGGATTACTTTATTCGTTAGTATAAGTTTAATATGGTGTAAGTTGTCGCTAGATTTAATAATACCTTGTTATCGCATTGGGTCCTAAACCTGTAATGTTAACTTGTGTGTGTAATAAATAAATAAATAAATATACTTTTGGCGCAGAACGCCAAGTAATTTAGTGGCAGATTTTTAAATAAAATCCAACCTAAAAACATTATGTAAAAAACTAATCAGGGGGCTTACTCTTGAATCCAATTCCGATCTATCGATATCGGTATTGTGAAATTTCGTACTCTTGAGTTGCTACACTAGCGTCCATAGCAGCCGTATTGCGTGGATATTGAATGAACTAAATGGTATTGAGTTTGGCTTTATATTCCGTGCTCTGAATGCTATTTTAACAGCTTCGGGTTGTATAGTTTTGACATTGAATAAGTATTGAGATTTTATTGGATTGTAATTTACTTATTTACACGCCTTTTATCCCCGAAGGGGTAGGCAGAGGTGCACATTACGGCACTTAATGCCACTGTACAATGTAACACCCACTTTTCACTATTTATGTTATGAGTCCCATGTGAGGTGAGCCTATTGCCATATACCGGGCACATTTCCAGCCTCCGTGCTACTACTGAGGTTTTTACACACCCAGTAATACTTTGCCCGACCCGGGAATTGAACCCTAGACCCCTTGCCCGGCAGTCGCACTTGCGACCACTCGGCCAACGAGACAGTCAATTTGTCAATTGTATAAATTCCAATGTAAAACCACTTCATTTGATAAAAATAAATAAATATACACCAATCCTTTTCCTAAGCGATTTTTCTTCACTTTTCCTTTATCATATTTTCAATATTAAATTTCCTTTTTGCCACTAAAAATTTCCATTTTGCCACATTAAACTGTCAAACACCGCGAGGACACAGGTGACCGCAACCTATTGTTCTTTAATGTCGCGGAGAACCTAACGGGTAACCGGGGCTCCGGCTCGACGTGCAGGAGAAGGAACGGGGTGGTTTTTAGTCAGTAAGAGCCTGACACTCCCTTCCGCCTCACCCAGGCGGGAGCAGTCATTCGATGATTTTCCCCCCTTAAAAAAAATAATTGTTCTTTAATTGTGTTTTTAATGACGGTACTCAAAGGGTTAATATACATGGTATTTCAGGAGCCATGACTCATACGAGGTGGGTATGAACTTCCTCATGACGATGGCGTTGGAGAAGGTGGCTTACTTACCCTTCGCGTTCATGGTGGATCAGGTAATGTGGTGATTTTATTTGCTCTGTTTTTTAGGTATTTGGGGTAGGGGAATCCTATTGTGTATATCTTTTGTGGATAGGTTAGAGTGAGCGAAATGAAAGAGTTATTCGTTAATATTATAATACACGACACGACACGGTTGGTGCGGTGGCTGGTCAAGCGGTTGCCGCGCAAAGTGTCGCCGGTTCGATGCCCGCAAGGAGCGACTCTTTGTGTGATCCACAAATTGTTGTTTCGGGTCTGAGTGTCATGTGTATGTGAACTTGTATGTTTGTAAACGCACACACGACACAGGAGAATATCCTAGTATGGGGTAACGTAAAAAAAAATATATTTTCTTGCAGTGGCGCTGGTCTATATTTGAAGATGGAGTTCAGAACATGAATACAAGATGGTGGCAAATGAAACTTCGATATCAGGTGAGAAATATATTCAAGATCATTAGCATCATAAGTACAGCCACGTATCGTCCCCTGCCCCCCACAGTCCTCCCCCACTGACTACACATCGCGAGGTTGGAAGCGACCTGGATATAGCGGCTGCCGCAGACCATTACCAGGTCGTCTATCCACCTTCTAAATGGACGTCTGGACTAGTGATAAAGGAGACCATATAATTTCAGATTAGAAGTTAGAACTAACTGCAAAGCGTGGTGATTAATGCTCATTTTCTTTTTTTTTATTGCATAAGCCGGTAAACGAGCAGACGGATCACCTGATGGTAAGCAATCGGCGTCGCAGATGGACACCTGGAACACCAGAGGCGTTACAAGTGCTTCACCGGCTTTTTGGGGATTAGGAGTTTGAGGATCGTTGGGGATTCAGGGATTTGGGAGATTGCGGAAGGGGAAGGTAATTGGGCTTCCGGTAACCTCACTCACACGACGAAACACAACGCAAGCGTTGCTTCATGTCGGTTTTCTGTGAAGCCGTGGTATCACTCCGGTCGAGCCGGCCCATTCGTGCCATTCTTTCTCCGTGTGAGAAGATGTGTCATCTATAGTGTCCATCCACCTCAAAGAGCCATCAGACCACCACAGGCCCAATAGGGTTGATACCGATACGGAGCCACGGAGGACTTAACGGGTTACCGGGGCTCCGGCTCGAAGTACAGGAGTGGGAACGGGGTGGTTTTTAGTCAGTAAGAGTCTGACACTTCCTCCTGTCTCAAAGCCATTCGATGGTTTTCCATCCTTAAAAAAACGGTCCATCCATCATAGTGTTTTTAGAGCCGCTTCACAGAAACCCGACAGCAGTGCTTTTTGATAAACCTGAACCATTTAAACAACAATCTTCAAGCCACTTGCTAATTGCGGAGATTATTGCAGACCCTCTTTTTTTAATGGTTTAGAGATCGTAGTTAGGAGGATCCCTAATTGAACACTGTCTCTTCTGGTCGTGGGGTGCAGGGGGTTGAGAGAAACAACGGTGTTCAGATACCGGATATATTCACGTAAACCCCAAGATAGAACCGTTCGCTCGGACCAGTGCGCAGTAACTGTCCGTGCCTCGCATACTTCACGCTCACACAAGTTTTTGCTTGCCTTGCACTCTGCCATACATGTGTCCCTACAATGGGATGGGATAAACCGGTAAACGAATTGACTGATCACCTGATGGTAAGCAATCGGCGTCGCCCATGGACACCTGGAACACCAGAGGCGTTACAAGTGCTTTACCGGCATTTTGGGATTAGGAATTTTAGGATTGTTGGGCAGGGTAATTGGGCATCCGGTAACCTCACTCACACGACGAAACAAACACAACGTTGTTTCATGTCGGTCTTCTGTGAGGCCGTGGAAATACCTCTTATGTCGAAGAAGCCCATAGTCCCACAGTAGTTTACGTACCTAATCATCATCAATCATCATCAACAGCCTATAAATGCCCACTGCTGAGCAAAGCCTCTTCTCACACGGAGAAGGTTTGAGCATTAATCACCACGCTTGCTCAATGCGGGTTGGCAATTTCAAACTTATAATTAGAAATTATAAGTCCAGGTTTCCTTACGATGTTTTCCTTCACCGTCTGTCAGTGGTGTCTTAATAATCTTAGAAAGTACATATGACTCGGAAAAAGTCACATTGGTACTTGCCGTTGGTAGGTTTCGAACCAGCTTCATGTATGAGAAGTGCGTCATAAACCTCCGGGCCACCACGACAATACGTACCTAATGTATTTCATTTTTTATTTCAGGGAGTAATTCCACCATTACCCAGACATGAGAGTGATTTTGATCCTGGTTCCAAGTACCATGTCATCTCTGATCAGGTAAAAAGACTAAGATTTATAACAAGAGCTTCTCTCTGTCTTACAGTCTTTTGTGCCTTTAGGCTTAATTCATTCTGTCTCCTGCAGTAATTCGCCGAAGGAAATGGAAACTATCGTGTTTTTCTTCTCTTCTATTAATATCTTCTAATTTATTTCGTTGAGGGAACCAAGACAGTTATTCATGTCCCTGGGACGTTAGACTTCAGTGTCCCAGTGTTTGCATGGTTGTATCTACTGTAGATCCTGGCTTACAGGAGTTGCAGCGGTTTTGGAAGGTTGTGACGAGGACAAGTCCCATAAAAAAGTGTCTTAACCAACTTCAAAGAAAGGAAAGAGGTTGACATTTTTTATTGAGATGTCGCTTTATCCACGATTTTTTGGCGGTTGGCTGGACCGATTTTAGTTCGGTTTTCAGAAAAGTGTTTGTTAATACTTAGGAGCAAGTTAAACCGTCGAGCGTCCGCGTTCCTTATGATCCAACGGGTGTACGCGTGACATTTGGAGAAAAAAAAAAAGAAAGAAAGTTAATTTATTTGGCCATTGGCACACGAAAACAAGGATCATTACAATAGAAATAAAACAAATACAGTCAAAATAAAAACAAAACATTAATAATAGATTTTATAAAAGAGAAAGCAGCATGGAGCATTTTTTCTTATGATCCACCGGGTGCTCATAAGTCCTTAATGCTCAGCTCGAGGGGTTAATAAATTAATTGACTTTATACTTAATTAGAGGTAATTCAGTTAAAAAAATGAGGTTGATATCGATTTCTTAATGTGTAGTTTATGGAAAACGAGCTGTTTCCCGCGACTTCATCCGCGTAGAATACGAATTTTAGAATATAACATCTTTTTTTTGTTTAAAATTTCTAAAATAAAAGTAGCCTATTTTAGTAAGAGTCCCGTCAAAATCGGTCCAGCCAATTCAGAGATTAGCCAGTACTAATCGACAGACATACAGACAGACAAAAATTTAAAAAAATGTTATTTTGATCTGTATCGTATGTATATTCATATGCATGTAGTAAAAAGCAGTTATTTGAAATATTACAAACAGACACTTCAATTTTATTTATCTGTATAGGTTTTATTGTGTGAATTTTTATTTATTTATTATTTATTCATTGTTTTACTTTCTATTCTGCCTTTCTCCATATTTTTGCTGATACCTCGCAGCTAGTCGCAAATTCATTATGTCTCTCTTTTTCTCTTTCTTCCTTTATATTTTACTAGCTTTTACCTGCGGCTTCGCTCGCGTCACAAAAGGATAAAAAGTAGCCTATGTTACATATACAAATACACACAGCGCCATCTATACCAACACTTTTGTTTTCCCTCGGGAATATCAATTTTCCGGATGAAAAGTACTCTATTATTTAATCCAGACTTCTAACTTTACGTCTGCAAAAATTCAAAGCAATCTGTTTAGTAGTTACGGCGTGAAAGCGGAACAAACAAACAAACTCACTTTCCAATTTATAATATTAGTAAAGATGTTCTACTCATTAATTCCCTCTGTTTCCAGGAGTACATAAAATACTTCCTGGCCACAATCCTGGAGTTCCAGGTGTTTGAACAACTATGTTCAGTGTCTGGTCACACAGGGCATCTGTACGAGTGCGATATTTATCGAAGCAGGGACGCTGGACGGGTGCTCAGGTAAGGATATTCATTATAATTATACCACTTTTTTTTTTAAGGGGGGAAAATCATCGAATGACTGCTCCCGCCTGGGTGAGGCGGAAGGGAGTGTCAGACTCTTAGTGACTAAAAACCACCCCGTTTCTTCTCCTGCATGTCGAGCCGGGTACCAGTTAGGTTCTCCGCGACTCCGAATCGGCATCGGCCCTATTGGGCCCCATCTGTGGTGGTCTGATGGCTCTTTGAGGCGCGCGCGAAACGCTCGGCGCCGTACGCTCGGGTCTGTTTCTCCCATGCTCGCCGTCCGCAGGCCCGCGCTTAATAATTATACCACTTACTACCACGCGATCGGCACTTAATGACACTGTACAATGTAACACCCACTTTTCACTATTTATGTTTTGAGTCCCATGTAATAGAGGGTGAGCCTATTGCCATATACCGGGCACAATTCCAGAATCCGTGCTATTGAGATTTTTTTATAAACCCAGTAATAATTTGCGCGACCCGGGAACCGAACCCGAGACACCTTGCCCAGCAGTTGCACTTGGCAAACGAGATAGTTAATTTATAAAAAAAGTAATCTATATATATAAAGAACATCCTCTGTCTTGCGAAGTCGGTTTAAATGAATCTCCATATCCCTTGGTCACGCCATAACGCATGAACGGCTGGACATTTTTTTTTTGTTGTGTTTATTATTATCAGAGGGCCAAGCACGAATAACTATCGTATTCGTATCGTAACAGTATCGAGCGAGTTAAGCGTTCTGATTGGTTGGTTCACTTGAGCCGGCCAATCAGAGCGCCGAACGCGCTCGATACTATTACGTTCCGAATGCGATAGTTATTCGTCCTTGGCACTCAGGAGAAGTTTCTTAAGATAGAAAAAAAAATCTGAAAATCCCACGGGAACGGGAGAAAACGGGATTGCGCGTCCGAAGTTGCGGGCAGAACCAAGTCATTAAAATTGATGAATCATTAACTTTAAGTACCTATTTTTATGTTGCTATTTAATCTACGTTAGACGCGTTCATTCAAGTATCTAAATATTTGTCTAGCACTTTTTTTTTGTATAATCTAAAGACGTGCATAAAAATCCATAGCGCTTAAGACGGATTAACGATTTCAAACTTATAATAAGTACATTACAATCTTGTGAGAAGTATGTGTGGATTAAAATTTATCGATCGAGTGAAAAATAGTGTTATTAGAGAAAGGCTTCGCATCAGGCTTCCTTGTGCGTACTGCTAAGGAGTGAAATTCTTTGCCAGAGACTGTATTTCCTGAAGGGTATAACCTGGGTGTCTTCAAGGCCCGAGTGTATAGGTTGCTAATGGGTCGACGTGCTCCATTTTAGACCGCATCATCGCTTACCACCAGCCGAGATAGTGGGCAAACGTCGGCCCAACAAATATAAAAAAGGTGTGGATTGAAAGATGATGTAGTGACAAGGATTGAAAAGGGAATGTTACGCTGGTTTGGACATGTAGAAAGGATGGATGAAAGTAGAGTAACGAAAGAAGTATACAGAGCGGGTATGAATGGGGCCGTCGGTAGAGGGCGTCCTAGACGGACATATAGTGTCGCGGAGAACCTAGCGGGTAACCGGGGCTCCGGCTCGACGTGCAGGAGAAGGAACGGGGTGGTTTTTAGTCAGTAAGAGTCTGACACTCCCTTCCGCCTCACCCAGGCGGGAGCAGTCATTCGACGATTTTCCCCCCTTAAAAAAAAAAGACGGACATATAGTGACCAGATTGGCGATATATTAAAGAAGGGCCAAATTAAAAGTACCCTTAACCGACGAGCTTGCATGAAAAGACTGATGACTGTTGATGAAGTGAAAGAGGTATGTAGGAATCGTAGTAATTGGCGTTCCATAGTCTCTGCCTACCTCCATCGGAGACAGGCGTGAGGTGATGTATGTTCAAACTTCTTCTTCTTCTTAAAAAAAGACGTTGCCCCACTTTAAGATTTTCTCCTGTGTCGTGGGTACCTTTACAAACATACAAGTTCACATACACATCACACCCAGACCCGAAACAACAATTTGTGGATCACACAAAGTGTTGTTCCGTGCGGGAATCGAACCCGCGACACATTGCACGGCAGCCGGTTGCCGAGCCACCGCACCAACTGTGCAGTCGTTTTACAATTAGAATTTTATTTTATAAGACATTGATATTTTTTTCAGTGAAATCATGCAAGTTGGTGCCTCAAAGCCGGCGTCGGAAGTCATCAAATCCATGACCAGAGGAAAAACCAATAAAATATCACCTGAAGCTCTCGTTAAGTAAGTTTCATCAGCTCCAAATGCTGGAATTAGGGTCACCCCTAATTCCGGCTGCATTAGGATCGCTCTTGATTCCAGCATTATAATTGACTAGCTTTTACCCGCGGCTTCGCTCGCGTCACAAAATTATAAAAAGTAGCCTATGTGACATATACCAATACACACAGCGCCATCTATACCAATACTTTTGTTTTCCCTCGGGAATATCAAATTTGTCTGGGTTATAAAGTACCCTATTATTTAATCCAGACTTCTAACTTTACGTCTGCAAAAATTCAAAGCAATCGGTTTAGTAGTTACGGCGTGAAAGCGGAACAAACAAACAAACTCACTTTCAAATTTATAATATTAGTAAGGATAAGAATTATTTCCTGACTGCAGCTTATAGTTGTAATATGGTACATGTTACTATAGATGCAGGATTTGGGCAACGCTTAAAACCAGCCGGTTACTAGCCATTATTACACTTATCTACACTTTGAACTTTACAAACACTTTTACTTAAGCTCGACCCTAATTCCGGCCACCTTCTTTCCAGGTACTTTCGTCCACTAGAATTATGGCTTCGAGTTCAGAATCGAGACGAGCCCCTCATAGGCTGGAGTTCTAATTACCATGACGTAGCCCTATTTGCCCCCCAAAGGGGTGAAGCTTCAATCATTAAAATGTCCTATTTCATTGTCCTGTTTAGCTTAATACCAGCATTTTTGTAAATTGTTATCTTAAGAATAAAGTGGTTTTTATGCCTATACCAGCAAATTAAACTTAAATAAATGAAATTTAATTGTAAAATGTGTTTTAAGTACGATACTCGAGAACAGCTGAACCGATTTTGATATAATTCTCAACTTTATGAGAGAGGAGATTTTAACATGAACACATAACATAACATCACGCCTTTTAACCCCGAAGGGGTAGGCAGAGGTGCACATTATGCCACTGTACAATCTGTACAATGTAACACCCACTTTTCACTATTTATGTTATGAGTCCCATGTAATAGAGGGTGAGCCTATTGCCATATACCGGGAACAATTCCAGACTCCGTGCTACCACTGATAATTTTAAAAAACCCCAGCAGTACTTTGCTCGACCCGGGAATCGAACCCGAGACCCCTTGTCCGGCAGTCGCACTTGCAACCACTCGGCCAACGAGGCAGTCAGAGGAGATTTTATGAAAGAAAAAATAAACAATATTCTTGTAGATACTTGTCTTTTCATTGAAGTACATTTTTTTGATTAGGACAAGTCTCCCAAAACCGCTGCAACTTCTGTAAGCCAGGATCTACAGTAGATACAACCATGAAAACACTGGAACACTGAAGTCCAACGTCCCAGGGACATGAATAACCATCTTGGTTCCCGCAACGAAATAAATCAGAAGATACTATAAGAGGAGAAGAAAAAACTATAGTTTCCACTTCCCTCGGTGAATTACTGCAGGAGACAGAATGAATTAAGCCTAAAGGCACAAAGAAGAGACTGTACAACTGGGTGAAGCCCAGTCGCCAAGCACCACGGAAAGACTAAAAACTAAGTGGGTCCTATGTGTGAGCTGTTATTCATTGGAATAGTCAAAAACAAGGTTAAATCTAGATTGCACCCAAGTAATGAAACAGTGAAACTAGTTGTAGCATAACATAACGCCTTTTATCTCTGAAGGTGTAGGCATATATGTAGGTACATTACGGCACTTAATACCACTGTACAATGTAACACCCACTTTTCACTATTTATGTTATGAGTCCCATGTAATAGGGGGTGAGCCTATTGCCATATACCGGGCACAATTCCAGAATCAGTGATACTATTTTTTTAAAAACTCAGTTAGGTACACTGACCGAGACCCTTGCCTCGCAGGCTAGCTGTCAGTTAATAATTTTATAATTTATTGTTATGCAAAAGTAAAAATATACGATAGTTTGATCTTATTTTTTTATGTAATAAGCCGGTAAACGAGCAGACGGATCACCTGATGGTAAGCAATCGGCGTCGCCCATGGACACCTGGAACAGGAGAGGCGTTACAAGTGCATTACCGGCTTTTTGGGGATTAGGAGTTTGAGGATCGTTGGGGATTCAGGGGAGATTGGGGAAGGGGAAGGTAATTAGGCCTCCGGTAACCTCACTCACACGACGAAACACAACGCAAGCGTTGCTTCACGTCGGTTTTCTGCTCGGCCGTGGTATCACTCCGGTCGAGCCGGCCCTTTCCTGCCGAAGCATGGCTCTCCCACACTTAAGATCTGCTGGTATTTGTTCTATAAACAAAATAATGAATGTCTTTTATTTCTCACTAACTTTTTAATGAGTTCTTAGTGTTATGTGTCATATGACGGTTATTTAAAGTCAAAATCATTTATTTCAATTAGACCAGAAAGGCACTTTTGAACGTCAACAAAAAAATTCAAAGTGAATCTAATTGTTAATTCCAAGGTAATAGATTCCTTGTGTAGAAGAACGAGCAAGAAACTCCATAGGTTACTCTTTTTCAATCGGGTTTACAATACAATTCTCTAGTTACATAGTTTTGTTGGTTCGATTGTGTGAGAACATTGTAACACTAAAATCCAGTCTTGGAGATCGAAAAACTGACTGCACGGTTGGCGCGGTGGCTGGGCAACTGGCTGCCGCGCAACGTGTCGCGGGTTCGATTCCCACACGGAACAACTCTTTGTGTGATCCACAGATTGTTGTTCCGGGTCTGTGTGTCATGTGTATGTGATATTGTATGTTTGTAAACGCACCCACGACACAGGAGAAAATCCTAGTGTGGGGCAACGTTTTTTGCGCGCTAGGTGGGTATACCACACCCACCTAGCGCTTTGCGTTACATATCAAACCTTGCGCTCGTCGGGTTAACAGTCTATGACAGTCCATTGCTGGACTAATAGGCCTTCTCTACATAAGAAGGTTTGCTATCATTCCCACGCTTGACAGCGGAATTCACAGGTTTATCAGAGAACGCTGCTGCCCGGTCTTTGTCAAATGTGTAGTCGCTAAGTCGGATATACGATACCCGCGGGAAGAGTAGCGGTGCTGACAAATGTTTTCAACCCTGCCGTTACCACACGGCTCCGCACGGCATGAGAAACATGCATCGACTGCAAATAGTTTTTGAAATGGCAAAGTATAGCTGTCAAATACAATTTCCTTTTTGGAATAAGTGAAAGTAAGTTGTGGTTGCGAACGGTTTAGAATTACCTCAGTTAGGTCTCACAGTCAGATGAGCGAGTTGAAACCTAGGTTTTTAGCATAGTCTAGCATCTAGCTTGGCCTTGATCTAAATTCAGTTTCTACAAGCTTCATCAACAGCCTATAAACATTTATGCAGTGGACATCCACTGCTTGTTACGTATCGGTGCCGACACATGTACCTACACCGTGATCAACGCCGTGTCACCAGGCCCAGATCTGATGAATCAGTACATTACACCTACTTTGATGCAACGAAGGTTCTACGGAGTATTGTAACATTCGAACTGCTGAGTCGTCTCCTCTTGTCGTCGCCTTGTGCCCAGCTACGAATTGCTGCATCATCGTTCACCCCACTAGATTTAACCTCAATAAAACCTTCTTACTAATTTTATAATAAAGAATTTTAAGATAAGAAAGCAGTGTTGTTCTAACATGGAACGCATTCGCTCTTAGGTTAGTTAGATTTTATGAGTTATCATGTAATTTTAATTATAATAAACTTAGTTTAATGATTATAGTTTTCATTTGCACCCTCTGTCGGTGGCAGAAACATAACTTGCTGACTAAAAGCCTCTTCATTATTACGTTTTCGGTTTACTCAAGTAACTATTTGGCAAGTAACTCGACTAGTTTCAAGCCAAGCTAGAGGCTCAAATTCAACCGAAAACACAATACATAGTTAATTAATTTAGTATGTCTCATGAAAGTTATAGTATAAATTTTACCTGACTGGGAAATTGAACCCGAAACCGTCTTGGTTTTTTTTATATTTGTTGACTACTATTTCACCTTGTGGTAAGCGATGATGCGGTCTACGATGTAGCACGTCGTTCCATAAGCAACATATTCACTCGGACCTTAAAGACACCCAGGTTATACCCTTCAGGTAGGCCATAAGAAATAAGAAATAATTTATTCATAAACCAGTTACAATTTGAGCTGTGAAAACCGCACTAGGCACAGCCTATATCACGGCTATCAAACATAATTCGTTTAGACCTGTTTACGAAAAGTATCGACAGAGAACCAAAGTTATCGACATATCCCAAAGGATCAGTAAGCTGAAGTGGCAGTGGGCCGGTCACATTTGTCGAAGAACCGATAACCGTTGGGGTAAACGTGTTCTAGAGTGGAGACCGCGTCTAGGCAAACGCAGTGTAGGGCGCCCTCCAGCTAGGTGGAGTGACGACATCCGCAAGGTGGCTGGCAGTGGTTGGATGAGAAGAGGTGAAGACCGAACTGAATAATATAATATAATAAAATCCCAAGAAGCTCATCAATGACGATTCGCTTGTGGAGGCTCGGCTACAAAGCCTCGAACACAGGCGCAAAATCACAAGCCTTTCGGTCTTCTATCGGATACATTTCGGTGAGTGTACGTGGGAATTGCACAAACTTATTCCCCCTAGTCCATTTCACCACCGTACCACCAGACGAACGGCAGGGCGCCACCCTAATATGGTGGACATTCCACCCATTCGAACGAAGCGTTTCGCGTCAAGCTTCCTCATGCGAACCGCTAAGGAATGGAATTCCTTGCCAGAGGCTGTGTTTCCCGTCAAATATGACTTGGGTGTCTTCAAGTCCCGAGTGAACAGGTTGCTCATAGGTAGGCGTGCTCCATCCAACTCAGTGGCGTGCCATTGGAGAGGGCTATGTCCAGCAGTGGACGAATACGGGCTGATGATGAACTCGAAAAGTATTAGCACGCTTACTGTAATATACTATATTAAATTAAAATGTGAGAAAATGGGATGAATGTGTGTGTCTGTGCAAGTGTTTATTAGTGTATATTGTTGTGTGTACTGGGTGTAGTAAAGCTAAAATAGGTATCAAGCGAAACACTTTCTTCTAAAGACACTGTTTTCTATCTCATGTTAATTCATATTGACTAGTATTTTATGTTAAGGGGATAATTTTTAACTAAAAATCGCGGGTTACTCACGTGAATATACTGAGAAAAGCTCTACTAGTTTCGAACCACAGAGGGGTTCTTCCTCATGAGCAGCGTGCGCGGTCGCGGCGATGTCGCGCAGCCTACTGTAGGCTCAGTATATTCACGTGAGTAACCCGCGATTTTTTACTGCATCTCTATTTAGAAATTTAAGTAAACCAAATTTCTCCACTAATAACCTACTGCATATCAAAAAACTTACTGTACTACCTACAAATTAACTACATATTACTTACCGTAAAACAAAAATACTGATTTTCACACAAATTGTTCAATATTACAACGGAATTTCCAAAATAGGTTAGGTTAGGTTAGGAATTATTAGATTTACTTTTAGTTAAAAGATAGTCATTCAGTAAAACAGTTAAGCTTTAAAGATCTAACAGTATAGTATAATTGATTTATTTGATGAGCAAATTTAGTGCGCAATTCAGTATTTTTGGTGGTAGGTAATTTTTAAACCGGCCGACACTTTGGCAATGCGTAGAGATGTAGCTTCATTGTGCATTTTCTCCCGCTTATACCTCGGGGAGTGCTCTGAGGAATTGTTTGACCTGATACC